AAAAGTTCTCTGTTTTAAATGCTTAAAAATGTTTTTAAATGTTTATTTATTTTTGTGAGAGACACAGAGGTGAGCAGGGAGGGGCAGGGGAGGGGGAGACACAGAATCCCAAGCAGGCTGTCAGCACAGAGACTGATGTGGGGCTTGAACTCACGAACTGCAAGATCATGACATGAGCTGAAGTGAGTTGCTCAGCCGACCAAGCCACCCAAGCACCCCTGTTTTAATTTCTAATGCAGTAACTATGAATAGAGATAACCTACATAAACAAAAGGTCTTTGGGGTTCTCAATTTTTAAGGGGATAAAGTTTAAGAAGAGCTTCTCTAAAGCAACCACTAAAATTACTATACACTAAATACAATACAATGAATACAATACACTATAACACACTACAATAGTTTTTAAAAAAGAAAGACAAAGAGGTACAGCTAAAAGGCCAATCTATCAATTAAATTGAAATTGGGTTCTGAACTGGCTTAATTTGCAGGACTTGTTTCTAACAGGGTGACCTATTAGAAATCATTTTGGTTGGCCTGGGACTGAGCTGTTTCCTAGGATGCAGGACTTTCAAAACTAAAACTGGTTCAGCCCCATGCAAATTGGGACAATTGGTTATTTCTAGCCCTTCAATCAGCCACTTTGTCCCCCTTTCCCTTGGCCAAATGTCTCTAAAGAGTAGAACCACATCTGTGCTATGTGTACGCCCCTGACGGGTAAAAGGCTAGAGGAAGGAAAGGAAGCATTCTACAAAAGTATAGGTATGCCATGTTCATAAAAATAGAAAATATCCGCAAGAACAATCTAACATAACTGTGACCATCTTAGAGAAGAGGGATGTGGATGATTGAAAAAATGTTTCTCTGTTTAGCGAAACTTCTGTAATGTTATTAAATCACTTTAGTAATTATAGAATAAATGTATTTAGAGTTATAGTTGTGACCAGATGGCTCTTTCTAAACCAGGCAAAATTAGAAGGGTGAGGCCACGGATCCTGAAGATGATGCTAGACTGTGGCTCTGGGGGCATTAATCTGTGTGATTAATGAGGAAGGACTTTCTGTCCTTGGCTACAAACTCAGGCCAGGTAAAGATCCTTTCAACCTTGGGGGGCTTCTATCTAAAGACAGGTTGATATCCTACAGTCTCAATACCCCCCTGCATCTCCGTCTCACCTGTGTCTTCTGAACCTGCCTCTGGGTCCACTGAATTTTGTTTCTCATTAACCGAGGAAAGCCAAACCGCAGAAGCAGAGAGGGGGACAGTCTGCAAAGTTGTGAACGGGTTGGAGAGAAAGCAGAGGGGTTACATGGTGTGAGTGCAGGAGTGCGGGAGTCCATTTTCAGTTTTAGTTTTAAGTTTTGAAATTCCTGTCGCTGCTGCCACCTGCTGTCCAGCATTGGGAAGGGCCTGTGAGGGATAGTGCTCGGTTTTCCAGACCAGGGAGGTTTTCCTACAGCCCTCATTAGACCCTAGCATTTAGAAAGGAATTTGTTCTCTCTTGGAATCCAAACAGCCATGGGAGACCCTGGGCTGAGACAGTGGGGGCAGTTTCCTGTCTTTAGACACCTTGCCCCGGGCCAGGACATGTTGGGCCTTTCATGCCCTATATCAGGTAAAGAGAGATATGGGAAAGAAGTGGAGAGCAGAGTGGGTAGAGGAGGCCTGAGTCAGTTACACTGGGATCCCAGGCTTCTATCCTTAATGGACACTACAGCTGTGGACAGAATTAAGGGATGAGAGTGACTCTATCAAGAGTTGGGTCTGTCCTGCAAGCTCCACTATCCCCACATCATCTCAGGTATGCAAGGGCATTGATATCCATAGGTTAGGGATATTTGGGCAGAGGCTTAATCAGCCCCAAAGGAGTGTCAGCCCTAGTGTTGGCTTTCCAGTCTTCCTTCCCTACTCTGTCAGCTATCTGTCTACAACATCAAGTGATCCTGTTCCTCCCTAGCTTAAAACCTTTAATGACTGCACCGTCTGATGCAAAAGATGGAGCCCAAGCTACTTGGCCATCATGGCATATTCTTCATTGGTAATTGGGCTCTGCTTGCCTTACTCCATGCAGGTTCCTCCTCTCATATGCATTCCAGCCTCACTGGTGATCTTACTCTTTCCTAAACATTGCCTTGCATTTCACAGGTGACTCTTTGGCCAATTCTGTGTTTTTCAGTCATCAGAGACCAAAAGATAGCATAACACAGTGGCTAAAGGAGTGGACTCCTACACCAGACTCATCAGGTTCAAATCAGGCACTGCCTCTTAGAAACTTTGTGACCATATTCAGCTTATGGAGTTTCTCCATACCTCTAAAGATCCTCACCTATAGAAGAAAGATGAAAACAGTGGTACCCGCTTCCATAGAGGCGTTGTGAGGATTAAGTGAGCTAATCATTTAATTTCTTTGGAGAGTGCCTGGTCTTTGGTAAACCCTCAATAAATATCACTACTTGCTTGGAAAAGTAGAATAGCAAAATGGTTAGGTCAGCGGTTTTCAACCAAGAGCAATTTTGCTCCCCAGGGGAGCAAATATACCCAGGGGATATTTGAAAATATCTAGAAATTTTTGGTTTTCACAGCTGCAGGGATGCTACTGGCATCTAGTGGAGAGAGGCCAAGGAGGCTGCTAAACATTCTACAATGCACAAGACATCACCTCCCACAACAAAAACTATCTGGCCCAAAATGTCAACAGTGCTGAGGTTGAGAAACTCTGGGTTAGGTGGTCAGGTCCCTCTAGAACCAATCTGTTTGGGCTCAAATCCTGGCTCTGACTTTGATATGCGACCTTTGGCAAATTACTAAGGAACTCCGTGTTCCCATTTTTGTGATGATGAATTTTATGTGTCAACTTGACCAGGCCAAGGGATGCCCAGATAGCTAGCTAAACATTATTTCTTGGTGTGTACATAAGAGTGTTTCCAGAAGAGGGGCGCCCGGGTGGCGTAGTTGGTTAAGCGTCCGACTTTCGCTCGGGTCATGATCTCGCGGTTCGTGGGTTCGAGCCCCGCGTCGGGCTCTGTGCTGACTGCCAGCTCAGAGCCTGGAGCCTGTTTCAGTCTGTGACTCCCTCTCTCTCTCTGACCCTCCCCTGCTCACGCTGTCTCTCTCTCTCTCTCCTAGAAATAAATAAAACATTTAAAAAAAAAAAAAAGAGTGTTTCCAGAAGAGATTAATGTTTCAACTGGTAGACTGACTACAGCCAATGGGCCTCCCCACTGTGTGTAGGCATCGTCCAATCTATTGAGGACCTGAACAGAACAAAAAGCAGAGGAAGGGAGGATTAGCTGGAACACTGGTCTTCTGCCCTTGGACTGGGACTTATACCATCAATTCCCCTAGTTTACAGGCCTTCAGACTGGGACTGCAACTACACCAGCATCATCCCTGGATTTCTAGCTTGCAGTTGGAAGATTGCCAGGCTTCTCAGCCTCCATAAGTGCTTGAGCCAAAACCTTATAATAAATCTCTGGAGAATCCTGACAATACAGTTTCCTTACCTGTAAAGTAATGATAATAATATATCACAGGGTTCTTGGGAGGAGTAAATAAATTGAGAGGTAAATGCCTGGCATGCAGTACTCATGCTATGGTTGGCATCCATTATTATTATTTCTTCTCTCCTCATGTGTCCCCTCCTCTGGGATGTCCTTCTTGACTCAGGGTTAGATTACTTTCAGCATATTAGCACTTCATGTATGACAACCACCTGTTCACTTGGCTGTCTCTTAAGACTGTGAGCTCCTTGAGGGAGGGGCTGTTCTATAGGTTTCAATATCCCCAGGACTGAGCATGATGCCTGGTACATGTATCCATAGGATGAATAAGGTAGAGAAGAGAATGGACAAGGTATTAGAGTTTTCAAGGAAGGTGCCCAGGGAGGAAAAGAGCATGTGAGTAGAGAAATCAGGCATATGAATGCAAGATGCCTTTGAGAGGGGTTGGCTGGTCCTAACCGGGGTGACCTGGCTACTACCCCTTCTGGTCTTCACTAACTAATAAGGGTTCTGGCACTGGTGGTAAATCTGGGCCTAATGAGTGTGACAGCAGAGATTATTATATGGCAGGCTCAGGGGCTGCCCATAGCCTGTGATTGCTGGGGAGAGGGTAGCAGAACAAAGAGCCATTAAAACATCTTCCCTGGTGTCCTCTGCTTTCTAGCCATCAGATTTAGTTATACCTGGTTGCCTCTGCACAGAGCCTTCTCCTCTCTATGTTTCTCCATTTCACCCTCCTTTTCAACAAAGAAATCTTTGGATCTGGTATCGCTGTGGTGACCTTGGAAGGCTGAGGAGGAGCCCAAGGATTTCTTACTCTGCGAGGGATAGCTGACCATGCAGGTGTGACTCTCCATTGCCTTGTTTGTCTGGACACCACCATCCCCTCATTATTGCTGGTATTCAGGGCCTTGCTGCTCTGCCATCACAGAATTTGTCAATTAGCTTCCTGCCAGCAAAGATCTAATGCCATATAAAATATTCTCCCTGCCCCTGGATATGCACTCTCTCTAATGACATGAGGTTGTATTCTGGTTCATTTGTCCTGGTAAAGCCACAAGGTAAGCTTATACATCTGTGTGAGTGGGGAGTATTATCTGAAGATGCTGGACATTCTTTTTAACAATTACCTACGGAAAAGGTGGGTTCTCAGAAAATACTCTGGCAGGTGGACCTAAGAAAAGAAGGAAAGGGGGCACCTGCCTATCTCTGAACTTCACTTTCTTTAGACTTCTAGGGGGACACTGAGATGTGGGCCCCTGGGGCTGGGTACGCAGATGGTGTCTGGGCTTAAGGTTAGGATGGAAGGGCCTATGATGCCCTTAGGTGTAGAGCCACATCTTTTTGTGGCTGGACAGGTTTATACTGCCCTAAGTCACTCACCCACATCCTTTTGCCAGATTAGCAAATATTGAGGCTAGGAGGAGGTCATTTGTGATGAAATTCAAAGCTGAAAATATATGTTAGTTACCTGTTGTGTAATAAATCACTCATACATTTGGCTGTTTGAAACAGCAAATATATATATATATCTTAACGCAGTTTCTGAAGGTCAGGAACCCAGAAGCAGTGTAGATGAGTGATTTTGGCTAAGTCTCTCACGAGTCTTCAGTTAAGGTGTTGGCCAGCACTGCATTCATCTGAAGGCTTGACTGGGGCTGGAGGGTCTGCTTCCAAGATGGCTCCCTCATAGGACTGTGGGCAGGAGGTCTCAGTTCCTTCTATGTGACCCTCTTCACAGGACCCTTCCCTGATACAGTGTAGGAGGAGAATGCACAAGGAAGGGAATGACAGGAAGCAGGGGACATTGGGGGCCACCTTGGAGGTTGGTTGGGTATCACAAAAATAGACATATTATTTTAGTACAATAAATTCAGAAGATCAGTTGTTATTTTTGCTAGGTATGGTTGTATTTCAGATGCATTACCCTGAAGCCAGTGCCTCTGGGGGCTCTGCCCCTCTCCTTCACCTTAGATCTGAAGGGCTCTTTCACTCATCCCAAACAAGTAGCAGGGCCATACAGATCACGTAGGACCTGCAGGAGACCAAACACAAGAGAAGGTGAGGCTTTGGAAGGATAGCAAAGAGTTAAAAAGGACCAAGAAGCAATTGAAAAGGAGAAAGGAAGAGAAGCAAGGAGAAGCCCTAAATAGAATGCTTTTTCCCAACCTAAGGGAGGGTAACCATAGCACGAGTCTTAAGAATCTAGGACAATAGTCCCATACCAGCAGATTGTCTAACGGGACAAGTTCAGAGGCTAGAGATTCCAGTTCCAAATCTCCTATACCCCATGGGCTTTGTGTGGACTTTCAAGCCTGAAATGAAGTCTTTTAGTAAAGAACTCTTTAAACATACTGTGTATGTGCTTTGCTTGTTAATAGGAAGGCAGTTCTGCTATATCCTGCACCATCCCTTCCATCCACAATGAGTTTATGGGTGAGGCTGCATTTGTACCTCAGATAATTGACTCATATATTACTCTCTGTTCTATTTTGCTTATTTTTCTCCAAGACTTTAATAAACCTTTATTCAAATGGGGCACCCTTCTCCCATCTGTGCTACCTGGTAAAAAAAATGAGTGGTGGGGAGACAAAAAAAAGATGGTGAGTGGCAGTAGAGATTAGGGGAGCCACTTTGAGGAAAGAGAGAATGCTTTGTGATCTAGCTGTTCCTTCCCATGTTGGGATTCTCTCTCCAGTGGGGACACTGCAGACTAGACTTCAGTTACATTAAGGGATGACAATTTCTTTTCTGCTGGGTCAAGGGCATGGAGCAAAGCTTTTCTAAAAACAATGGTGGAAAAGAGAGGAATCTAAGGGGAGGGTGTGGGTGTGGAAGGCAAGATAGATCAGTCATAGAACATTGAGGCTGAACAGGACACTTCTCCTGCGGCACAGAGAAGTGAAATACTTTGCCCAAGATCATGCAGTGAGGCAGCAATAATGACTCCTCAAGCAGCGCTTTTAGCTCTGCCTTGCCGGTCTGATTAGGTCAATGAATACCCACAGCTTTTGTGTGTGTGAAGGAAAGAGAAGAGCAGGTGCTGGCTTGCAGCAGTCTTATAGAACACCGGATGAAAAAGCCACATGGACATTACACACACCTCTCCCCACACACTGTACATGGAAGAGGCATGTGTGAGACAGGCTCAGGAGGGATATGCATATTTGCATGGAAGGAAAACTGTAGTTGATACTTAAATAGACCTTCCCCCTCCTGGCTCATCTGTGGGGTCAGCAGAGTTGGTGAAGCCCAAACTGAGTCCTGAATGGAGGGGTTTCTGGAACTTCACTAGTGCATGAAGAGATCAGGGGATGTTCTGCAGGGGATCAGGGGTGGGAGGGTCGCAGGGGAGGCTTCTCAGGCATGAGGGAAGCATAAGGGAAAAAAAACAACCCAGGGCAGGGGTAAGTGTGCTGGCTGGTTTTGGCATCCATATGGAAGATGGAAAGGCTGAGGGAAAATGGCTGCAGCTGTAGCTGGGCCCCTGCCGGGGCTCCTAGGGAGTGAGACACGGGTGGGACTGGGTGGGTGGAGGACGGCAGGAGGCTTACCCCCAGCTAGATGGTGGGCCAGGAAGTCCTTGAGAGAACAGTGGTCCCCTTGTCTTGTTGGAAGGTCAGCTCCATCCCATGCCTTTGGAATCTAAATGGCCTCTGGTGAGGGTGGGTATACAATGTGGAGCTGTCCCAGAGCCAACCTGTTGGCTGAGATCTAGGGGAGGAGGAGGCCCTGATGGATGCAGATTCTGGCCCCTGGTCAGGTAGGTCCACTGCTTGCACGCTTGGCTTCAGAGGCTTTGGCTACCTTCTTTGTTTCTTTCTTTCTGCCCTTCATGCAAACTCAGGTCAGCTCATCAGAGTCCTTCGCAGTGCCCCTTGATCTGGCCACCGAGTGCCCTCACCCACTATCTTTTAACTTCCTGCTGTACCTGCAAGGTTTCCCCACCCTCACCTGACCATAATCATGGACACAGCCCTGGGATGGCTCCGGATCAGTCCCTGGGGCCCCTGAGGGCACAGGTGCTGCTGTGATTGAGTGGGTTAGAGCAGGGGGAGGTTGGGGGGGACATGCCAGAGAGCTGGGTAGGGGTACCGGAAGTGGTCCCCTGGCTGGGTAGGACCAGTGAGTTCCAGAAGAGGAAGAAGAGCCTGTAGAAGAGGAGGAAGAGGCAGGAGCAGGCCATAGTCAGGGCCATACCGGCAACTGCTGGCCTCTTACTGACCTTTGCGTACTTAAGCCTAGACCAGATGTAGTTTTTGCCTCTTAGGGGATAACATTTGGGTTGGGGAAAGGGATCAATATGGCCAGAACTCTGCTCTTTCTGGGGATCCCAGGATTTGCAGTGGCTTCAAAGGGTCCCCTTCTGCCAGTAAGGGGTCCAACCATGCTATAGAATGGAGCTCCTGGTGGGGATGGCTTTGTGCTTTAGACTTGAGGAATTTCCTGCCTTTTCCTGACCTTCAACAGGAAGGTCTGGGCATATGGGCTGGGGGGTCACATGGAAGATGGTGGCTGAATGGAGGGGCACCTCTCTATACTTTGCTGCTCCTGCCTACTCTCTGGTCCCCTACCAGAATGTGGAGGCCAAGGCCTCGGGCAGCATGTGGTTCTCTGCTTGAGGACACGCACCTGCTCTTGGTGTATCTGCTGTTGCTTACTTTCTTCTAGAAGAGGATCTGTATTGAAATAAGGGATCAAGACTAAGGGACCATCTGGATTTCAGGCCAGTAGGTTATTTGTGACCATATGGTGCTCTCTGGGCCTGAGGAAGAGGGAATTGGGTAGGGCCCCTGCGTGGGGCTGGCTCAGAAGGATGCAGTTATTCCGTCTTGTGTGGAAATAAACATTTTGGATTCCTGATCATCTCCCTGGGGGCTAGGATTCTGGTCAACAAAGTCAAGGTTGGTCCCCAGATTCACAGTTTTGTGTGCTCCAGGACAGGCTAGCGGTGGGACATTCCTTGAGGGCTATTTCCCTCTGTCCTGGTTTTTCTTCTTTCACAGGTTGGTGCCCCTCCTAACCATGTCTTCCATCTGAAGACAGAGGGAGTAGGCTGATCTGAATGAAGGATTGGGGTTTTGTCAGGGTGAGTATGTGTGTTCAAAATTGGTGGTGGTGGTGGTGTGGTGTGTATGTGCCTGCATATTTGTGTGTGTGTGTGTGTGTGTGTGTGTGTGTGTGTGTGTTGGGGAATGGAATATTCAAGCATGTGTCAGAAGAGGGAAGATTAAACTTGGTGTTTCTTCAGCTCCCACTGCAGTGAGCGGTGCCCCCTGCTGCCCATAGGGGAAACAGCAGCCCCAGCTTCCCAGTCTCAGTAGGTCCCTGCTTTCATCCATCCCCTTTCCCATCCACCCCTTCATGATGTTTCTGAAGCTGCTCAGTCCTGCTCTGCTTGCTTGTGCTCCTTTGAAGATCTCCAGGCTTCTTGTTGGACTCTCGGTCCTGAAGGGGTGAGGTCAAGTGAAGGATTTGAACTTGCAGTGTGAATGGCTGGACATTACCATGGGGGCCTCCAAGCTCCTGGGTCAGGCCCTCTGGCAAGACTGCAGTGAGGGGCGCTGGACCAGCATGCAGAACACAGAGGACAGTCCTGTGGGGAGAGGCTTGGACATGCACTGTAAACCCAGAGTGACCAGGACATTGCATTGCCCTGGCGACTTAGGCAATGGGTGACTACACATGGAGAATCTTCCTTTGCCTTCACTGTTCCTTGGAAAGGGGCAAGCTAGGATCCAGCAGTCCCCCGAGCTTCTGCTGGTTGGCTTTGCCCAGAGGAGGGCTTTCTACTCCCTGCTCTACTGGGGACATCTGTACAGAGGCCTGCAGGGGGAAGACTATTCAGTTCCACTCAGTTCTTTCCCAAACTCATTCCAGAGTGTAGAGTAGGATCAGTGTTTCAAAACTAGTGACTGTCTTGAATGTGTAGGGGCTTAGCCACTGCAGTAAGAGAGGGCAGGGGTGACCATCTAATGAGCCAGGGACTTTCCAACAAGCCCTGCCTCCCACGTAGTCAGGCTCTGTCCCCACCCCATACTGAGCCCTCTTCTCTCAGACACTTGCCCCATGGTACTTTTATTCTGAAGGGACCAAGGTCCCTGGAGGCGTGGTGAGGGGAGGGGACTGTCCAGGGGCTGGAGCTGGCCCTGACCCTGAACAGGCCCTGCCCTCTGGGCTGTTTTCCCAGGGTAGTGATTCTGGGACCCCAAAGGAGGGGCCTTACTGTCTTCACTTCTCCCCCTAATCCTCTGTCCCAGTCTTGCTGGCCTTTAAGCAGAGGGTCCCTATAGCCAAGCATGTCGGTCTTCTTACTGTTGCCTTCACACCCCTGTGTCCTCATCTTTCTAGCCCTTACCCTTGTATCTTCCAACTGTTTCTAGCCTTCTTGCTGCCTGTCCTTCCCAAAGCAGACATGGACGCCAGCTCACTATTCCAAAGCTTGGCAGCCTCCTCCAGCACGGAACAAGGATCTTACCCAGTCTCATCCCTCTTCCCCAGAGTGTAGGATGGAAATATAAGATAGCTAGGGTTCATTCAGACATTGATACATGTGGTCTGTTGAACTCTGTGTGGGTGAGGCTGTGCCTTGGGCCCCGTTCTGTTGAGCACACGAGGCTTTCTTGAGACTAAGGACAAGGAAACAGAGCAAAACAACAACAACAAAAAGAACAACTCTACCAGCAGCTTCTGTTTACATTCTTGAACTCCACTCACAGTTTTCCAGAAGTTTCACCAGGACGGAGTTTTTACTTGTCCCCAAATGCTCAAAGCTTAGTTCTTTCTTAGATGGAAAAGAAGAAACCAAATGAAATAAAGAGAGTTGAGAACCATTGTTTTCAAGGGGCCTTTCCCCTTTGCCTGTTTCTTTCACCCAGGAGGCCAGACCTTGAACTGGATATGAGGCCACAATTAGGCAGTGGAGTGTGACAAAAAAGGACTTTGGCCTGGGGGCTACAAGTTATAGATTAACATGGGGAAGAGTGAGGAGGGATCTGGAGGGAGAGTAAGTGGCCCAAAAAAGGGACTGCTGACCTGGGATGATCTGGACTTGAAGAGGTACAAGCAAGAGGAGCCTGGGGACCGGTGT